ATGTTTATGGTAAATACATACAACTTGTTCATGATAAAATTAAACATTGATATACTTTCAAGGGTACTCCCTTTGCAGGCACCTTAAATGTTTCTCTTACCGCCACAGCCTGGATTAGACACATTAAGAAATACAGATTTTTTACCACAGTAGTACTCAAATGAACTAGGCTAATGTCACTTGTATAAGTTTGCTACTTGGCATCAAACAGTAATTTTACAATAAAGTTATTAATATTTAGTATTGCTAGTGAATAAATCCACAGTGTATTTATACATCTTTGTGCAATCACATAACCTCTATACATATCAATATTGAGTACACAAACTAGGCAAAATTGACCACTTTTGTCAGTTAATTATTATGGGGGTAAAAAAAAAAAAACTTCACATCTATTTTTAAATAAACACAGGACATTCACTCATTTTAATAACCAGATTTATTTCAAAACATCTGAACAAGTGAGATGCTGGCCACTGCAAGCGATACTGATGGGTGTTCTCTGCTCAACAGCATGAAGTCACAACTCAGCTTCTGTGAAGATAAGAAATCAGTCACAAAAAAATTAAACATTACTTCAATGAGTCTATATGATCGGGATACTAACAGGGAAATAGTATGGCTTTTTATTCAGGTAATTGATGGTTAAGTTTCAGATTTACTGTTGTAATATTACTGTAATGCAATGACATGCATTTTTCTCCTGCCATGAACAGCAACATGCATATAAGCATTCAACAACAATAAGCCCCCCCCCACCAGCCATTAACAGTTGATGCTTGACTTGCGACCAGCAATGCGTTTCAGCTGCAACTGTCTGTTGGCTTAAAACCCATTTAACATAAGTGGTTGGGCAATAATCCTACCTCTGAGAAGCTTAGTGTCCTGATTTTGTAAAAACTGTGTCAAAGAGCTCTAGATTCAATTCTATTGTAATTTGAGGACAGATTATGATGTTTGTATTTAATTGTATTGAAAGATGACTGATTTAGTCTCAAATTTGGCTTTAAGATAACACTTGCTTGACCTTGTACTGGTTTACTGGTTGTGTACTGGTTAAAGTTGTTTATGGTCACTAATCATACACTGATACAATGTCTCGTGATACACTGTCAGCAGATAAGACGCAACCAGGGTCAAAAATTTACTTTTGGGTTTACCGGCCAATGGTGGGTAAATTTCAGATTTACCAGCCAAACTACATTTCAACTGGCTATAAAACTATACAAGTATGATATACAGTGATGTGAAGGTGTCACTTTTGGCTCTGGGTAATTGTGACAGCATTTCTCACCATTTTCAGAATAGTTACTATGTTTTCTAACAAGTCAGGCACAGCCAAACTTTGCTGTGTTACCGGCTGAGCCTTTGAAAGGAATATTTACTGAAAGTAATGTGTTCGCTGTCGGAGAGAAATAAGTCCCTGTTCATGTTACTACAGCACCAGTGCAAACACTGAGCTAGGTAGATAACCATAGCAACAATGGACAGCGAGGGTCAAAGACTTGTGATACAATTCTTGACGGTCATAAGTTACGTGCCCAGCAGTGTGAAGTTGATGCAAAATGTTATCAGTCAACTCATGTGTTGCAGTGATTAGTTTGAAGTACATTCATATCCATTGACCTCATTTATTTTATTTCCCACTGCAGTTTTTTTAAACCCGCATTTGGTGAGTGCTTATTTTGGAACCTGAATGCAACTAACATATTATAGACCTTTTCTTTTTATAGCTGGCATACTGTATTAAATGACACAAGAGAAATGCCTTTTTGAAGTAAACAGAGCCCAAACTGATGTCTTCCAACTGTTGATAGACAGTTTTGTTGATGCCAACTGTAATCCAACACCTATTAGCGAACGGGCTAACAGACATGGCTGGGTTTATGTCCCCTCACCTATCGCAGCCTCCTGGCTTCTCTTTCAGACTCTAGAAGTGTCAGCACATCTCCTTCTCTGACTGGGCCCTTCACGTTCCTGATGATGGAGCGATTGCTGTCATCCATGAACTCAACACGGACCTGTTAGGACAGCATTTGACATGATAAAGTAAGTGGCCACTAAACTTAGCCACCAACAAGCAGAATGCTACCACAATCACATTTAACTGAATGACTTTGAAAAACTAAACTTGAGCCACATTATTGTTCTAGATCCAGGTGAAGAAAGTCCGTCAGTGTCTCTACAACCTCAGATGCCTATCTTGGTGCTAAAGACTTTCTACACCTGCACCATGCCGAGCAGCCTGACTGGTAGCATCACCACCGGGTATGGAAACAGCCCTGCAGAGGGTCAGGTGTAAACTCAGAGATGCAATAGTCATTTACATCAGATGCACGAAGAGGATTTAAGGATCACAAAAGACCTCAACCATCCCTACAACATCCTGTTCTCTCTGTTGCTGTCAGGTTAGGCGCTACCACTGCCTGAAGGCCAAAACAGAGAGCATGAGAGTCTTCCCTCAGGCTATTAGGGTCCTGTACCAGTAACCTTCAGAGTGCTTTCTGCATAACTTTATCATCCACCTGCAATAAAGTCCAATTATACCAATGTCATCACCATCCCCTGTACTGTACATATTATGCACTGGTAATTGTTTAATTATTTTTTAAACTCAGTACTGGTCAATGTTATAGTAAGTGCTGCATCATTTTATTTTTCTTGAAAACTTTTAGAAAAATCAGAGTTTCCATTCTTATATAAAATGTACAAAATCACCTTGATAAATTCTGATAAAGATTATAATTTGTCCATTATATACCAAGTCTGTCAACCGCAGATTGTGTAAATTTCATCTCTGTTAGCATTTTCCATGGAAAAGTTCAATTACTCTTTTTAAAACTGTCCATATTCAATCATATAGGCAGTTAGATCATGATAACTTTACACACTGCTTCTTAGATCATATAGCAAGACATTTACAGAGTTTAATATAATCTCTTATCACACTCATTTTATGTGGTATTCCATCTGTAAATATGTGCAAAAGATATGACTTGTATATTTTTAAATAAATCCATGAAAAACTATTTATATAAACCGTTCTGTAAACGTCTGGTCTTTTGGTATATTACCACAAGAACACCAAGACATCCATCTGACTCATCAATGTGCTGGAAAATGGTTTGTGTGATGTGCAAAATCATCGCATTTATACCTCATTTGCATGTTTAAACAAATGTAAATAAAACTTATTTACAACTCATTTAAAACTTACGTATAAAATTTACTTTTAGCTTATAAAGTTTCATTGCGATATGAGTAAAGTAGGGGAAAAAGCCTATTTGTGGTGTCTAGCCTTAAGACATTTAAAACCTAGCGCATTAATCCACAAAGCAACATATTTCAGTATATATGTGTGTATATAATGTAAAGATACAGATTCATTTCGGATGAATTTGGCAAACCCTAACCAAATATGGTTATAATGTATTAACAATGAACACAACGTTACCTGTGTACATTGTCCCTGGGAACCAGTTCTTCCGAGTACTCTGGTGACCTGAAAAAAAAACACAAGAAAACGTTAGATTGACGCTAAACAAAAATCGTGTTTCCTTATATGAACTAAAAAAGTCCAGGGCGTCTAAAAGTCTACAACAGGCTACTAGTGAACTAGCGAGTAGACAGTAGCATGGACGGGCCTCCATGGTAGACGCACCAGAGCCAACATGCCGTACGCTGAACGGTACATAAAAGTCGATTTAGCCTCAATGTTTTGGGATCGTATAAGACACTAGTTGTTACTGCAGCGATTTATCCATTCGGATGTGATTATTTTCGACATATTACATAATTTCTTACTCTTGCGAGCTTGATCGGCTGCACGCGGGCGGCGTCCATGTTGTCAGGTTAGACCGGAAAGGAAGTCACGTGGTGCACGGCAGTCATATATCGCAACTGTAATTCGTCTTGTTTTATTTATTGTACAATTTTATTTTAAATAGAAAATAAATTACAAAAATGTTCTTTAAATTAAATGTTACAAAATACCGAATTCCCTTTTTAAAAACTGAAATCTTATTTTAGATTCCCACTTCCTTTTCCGGCAAATGGCTAATACCATTCACAAACATTCATGGGTGTAAACCGTGTAAACCATCGAACAGGGCCGTACCATTACTTATTTTTTGTCCATTTCACACATTTTAACTTTAAGGTGGAATTATAGAACCAATTAATTGTGTCTAGGTTTGTTTAACCATTGACCTCATATATAGATATACACTTAAAACCATAAGAAAATCCAATTCATGTCCATTAGTATATACTGTGTACAGATCTGAGCATATTAGCTTGTGCATCACAGGGACTGATGCAGTGAGAGTCGGCATAAAATACAAAATCTATTCATTTCTGTGGCATGTTCACACTATCACAATACATGTTTTACCCTAATTTTAAAATACTGATTCCCTAAACTGGGCCCCTTAATTTGGTCTATCCACTCAGTGGGCTATTATTATTCAATATTCAAACAAAGTATGTTCTTTGCTTATTATGAAAGGATCCATGCCAAACAGGGATTTAATTATTAAGATAAAGGAGAAGAACAACTTCATTCTTTGATAATAATATAGAGAAAATCAGAGAAACATCTCTAGAGAAACTCTCCATAGCCTTGTTAGCAATGCAATGCAGTCCACACCACTCTACGCCTATCCTCCTCTCTCAGAACTCAAAGCCTTAAATCACAACACTAATCCCTGTGAATGGTATTTTTAACTTGCGTTTGGACAGAAAGAACAGCAATAGGATTAGAGAATCAGTAAAGAGGCTGAATCTCTAACTCATGCAGTTGATCTTCTTGCACGCCTGAGAGACAAGCACGGTGACTCTTTCTATATATTTCTACCTGAAAGCATCATTTAGGGGACAATATTCAGCCTAAATGGAGATCTTGTGGAATACTGTTGTTATTGTTTTTCACTGACTTGATTTTACATATTTGACTCATACAAACTTATTGTTTGTTTTTTGTCTTCCAAGGAGCTGTCACAATGGAGGTTATGAAGCCCAGGTTCAAAGTGGGCCTACTGAAAAAGCGTCGCTCCAGTCTTTTTGCGACCATAAAACGGGATAAGAGTTTTTCCCAAAGCACTGAAGAACAGGAGTGTGAATTCCCCTTCTCACAGGACAGCTCTGTGAAACCATGGACATCTATGGACAACCTAGACGCTCCTGATGTCAAAAAACGTGCAACAAAAGATCAGAGCAAAGACGCACCGAACCCCAGGAAATCAAACATTGTCAAACTCAACGTGGGTGGAAAATTATTTCACATCCCAAAGCATTTGGTCCTCCGATACCCTAAAACCAGGATTGGAGTCCTTGCACTCTGTGATGATCCTGTGAAACGTCTGACACTCTGTGATGATTACAATGTTCGGAACGATGAGTTCTTTTTTGACAGGGACCCCATGTTTTTCCACTACATCTTCCACTTTTATTGTAGTAATGTCCTATGGGTGATGGATAGTCTCTGCCCTGTTAGTTTTGAGGAAGAGATGTCATTCTGGGGGTTGAGACTGAAGGACACGCCAAGGTGTGCTGTCCATATTTAATACTTGATGTGTTGTGTAGCTTGGTCTGTTGCTGTTTGTGTATTTCAAGCATGGTTTTTGAAAAGCTCTCGTAGAACTATAAGAAATGAATAATATAATAACTTCTTCTTCTCAGGTGCTGCCGCATTCTGTTTGAGGAGAAACTGGATGACATCAGAGACCAACTAAAGGTCAACCAGGAGCTGATCGATGAGATAAAGCCTCACCAAGATGAAGAGGGTTACGAGAAGATGTTTCTTGGAGGCTTTCGGAAGATCCTCTGGGACTTGATGGAGAATCCTTACTCCTCGCTGTCAGCCAAAGCCTTTGCAGTGTTTTCCAGTCTCTTTGTGCTTATCTCTATTGTTGCCATGACAATGAATACAGTAAAGGAACTCAGGGAGTACAAACTTGCTGGCAGAACCTACATGGAGTGGATAGAAATTAGTTCCATTATTTTTTTCGCCTTGGAGTACTTTTTGCGGTTACTCACCACATCTAACATCAAGCATTTTTTGAAGAGTGCCCTCAATTTTGTTGATGTAGTGGCTGTTATGCCCTACTTCCTCCAGATCCTTTTTGAGGCATTTGTAATGGATTCAGAAGACGTCAGTGCAAAGGAAGATTTGAAGACCATGGCAAGGGTCAGTAAAGTCAGCAAAGTGCTGAAGGTCGTCAAGTTGATGCGCATCTTCCGTATCTTGAAGCTTGCCCGTCACTCTACAGGCATGAGAGCATTTGGTTTCACCATCCGACAGTGCTCTGAGCAGGTATGAAGGAATATCAAAACATCTTTAATTGAGGGGGCATACACAAATAAAACAATGGAGCACATGTAACTTTTATAATATGTTTAACAATGGATCACACGACTAATTGTATATGAATGTGGTCACTGATGAACCCACATAGAAGTATAACCCATTTTGGCTTCTTTCAGCTCCTTGTTTGGTTACAGGCCCTAAACTGACCTGGTTTGGTTTAGTCTCACTTTTCCAGCTGCAGCAGGCAGCTGTTTTCAATGAGAAAGCTCTCATAAACCTACTTTTCACTCCTTGCTCAGCACCAAACTGCAGACAGAGTAAGCTACTAGCTGGTGAACATAGTGGGAGACAGATATTTCCCTAAACAGAGCTAAAAACAGAGTCGATATTGAACTTTAATTAGTGAGTTGGCCAAAAGCATGACTCTAAATTTATGCAAATGTTGTATAAACACGCAACATTTTGTTAACAAGTTCACCATCACAACTTTATAAGATGATAAAATGCCAATGTTATGTTCCGATCTTGTTTCCCCTGCCCACTGAGAGGCCAAACAAATCAATTAATTCAAGTTTAATGCAAGATTGCATAGCAAGAAAAGCAACGTACATTTTGTGGTAATGTGTATATGTAGGTATTCAAGGTGAGTAATAATGAATTGTCATGTGACCTAATAGATATGTAAATTATTTCCAAATGTGAATGAGCATTGCTGACATGTAATCTTTTCTCATTTTTTAGGTGTGCTGTCTGTTTTTGTTCATTGCCATGGGCATCTTCACCTTCTCTGCTCTGATGCACTCTGTGGAGGTGGATCAGCCTGGGACACCATTCAGCAGCATACCAGATGCTTGGTGGTGGGCTGCGGTGAGTAAGATCAACTTTAACCTTCAGTTCAGTAAGATTTCTGGTTTTGGAATTTGTTTGTTTCATTAGAATTTAGGCTCTATTTTTGTGGGGGTTTTTTTTACTCTACTGTAGGCTATGCCATTTAGGTACCTTGGCCATGATCTTGGCTGGATCCAAATATTTGATATTTTTTCTCACAATTTTCCTTGACTTAACATAAACATCATAAATCAAACAAAAATGGATCAAAGCGGGATGGAAAATCACAGTGATTTAGAAAATCAAACCAATGTGCAAACAAAGTTAAACTTTACTTGTATGAGGCTACATATGATACCAGGTGACACTTTTAATGAAACAAGGAACGGCACACATCATTTAGAGGATTCAAATCCCTCTTAATGCTGCCTCTAAGATTCTTCCGGATCAATTAGTTTGGTTATGAACCTTACTAAGCTGTTACTGTTGACTTTGTCGAAGAGATAGAGGAGCTCAGTAAGGGGGTGTGAGTATGATCAAGCAGTGTGGTGCATTTCATTTTTCAAGAATTAGGCCTTCCTGGAATTGTGGTCTCTGCAAGGGTGTCACTTTGTGTTGAAAAGTGGTTAGGACGTAAGGGCTCAGATTAAGGGTGTGATCATACACTTGGCTCACGAGACATGACGATGCACATTATTGGGTTCATGAGAGCAAGATGAGAAGATATTTTAACAGTATTTTGAGGAAATATTCATTGCTGAAATATATACGTGTGATCCTCGCCCTGAAGATTTTTAACATTAAACACTTAATTTCTGCATTCTGGAGACATTTTCTGCACCAATTTATGGTTGAAATTCAGACATAAAAAAATTCAAGAGGCAAGTGAAAAAAGTATAAAAATATTGTGGAATATAATGCAGTAATCAGTAGCTGTTTTTAGCACAAGTTATTTTTTTGGACAATGCACATATGTTTCTTCTATATTTACACTGAATAGCGTGTTTTCCTATTATGCAAATAAACCTTTCTCAAGATTTGTCATTTAACATATCTTGTCGCAAGCTAATTTTTAGAACATTTGTAACAAATGCTTTTAAAAAGGTGATGGGGACAAACTCAGCCATTTCAAAAAGTGGCGAGGACATGTCCACAGCGTCCCCAGTGTAAATGACACCTCTGGCTGTCTGTCTATTCAGACCTAAACAAAAGTGAATAGTGCATGGCAGAGTCATGTTCCGTGCTATTTTGATGGCTCTATCAAGCAATGAACCCATGACGAGATTGTATTTGTAGACAAATCTCTTTTTGTGAATAAATGGTTGGTTAAACCACCTTTGATTTTAGTTTCTCTAACAGGAAAAATGACACAGCATTTTTTATTGTAATGATG